AGCTAACTTCCTGCTAACTTCTAACTCCGTTAAATGTCATAAATTCCGTTTTCATGGATGACTGGATGTTAAACTCAATTGTTACACCTGGTAGAGCAGAACGCTGATCATTTTATTAAGGATGAAAGAGTTTCGACAGTTTTTCAACTCTCAGTAATGCCATAGTGATCGTTTGATATATGGACCTGCAGCAGAGTTTAGGCCCAGACACGGCTAGTGACGTCAGACTTAATGACCGGATAGCTGTCTCTCTTGCTTTAGCAGGGAAGGAAGAAGTTTAAGGTCTCTATCCAAGCTGATAAATGTGTTTCTTTATAGCAGTATGCAATTTACAGCAGTTATAAATTTAAAATGATTTTGATTCCATGACAATACCAGTGGTAGAACAACAAACTCTTTTTGTTTGTTTGCTTTAAATATTCATTGCGAATATGTCTCTTTGGTCAGGAATGCAAAGTGATTTTGTGTTCCTCAGGCTTGTGTTTTCTCTTTGTCCTTAGTGGAGACTCTGCAGGTCTGGATTCTAAGTACTTTGAGAAGAGAGATGATTGCATCTCGATCTATGGTCTTTCATCTAATCCACGTCAAAGAGGTAAAAGCGCTCGTCTTTTAAAGATCAGCATCTACCGCATATTAATTTCAGTGCATCAAGTTTTTCATTTCATGGCTTAGTAGTGTTTCTCTTTTTTGGGATGCAGCAGTAAATCTGTGGGGCAACAAAGCTAGTTTGTTAAACATATTGTGTTGCTAATTTAGGTGCCTTTAAAAAAAAAAAAAACGCAAAAACGAAGAAAAAATTGGTTTTTTGATTGAGACGCTGAATGCGTGTGATAATAAGTAACAGTAATTTGATTCTGTTTGCTTGCTTTGTGTTCAGAGTTTCCTCAGAGTACAAAGCCATCTATAGCTTCAGCTTACTTCTCTGCATAAAACAGAAGTTTCAGGATCTGCAGAAAGATTACAATGGAAATGGACTTAAAACCATCAAGTCACATCTTCGGCTCTTGTACAAAACTGTTACTGTTGCATTAAATAAATTTGTTTTAATGAGTGATTCTTATGGTTAATTCTAGTGATCACTGAGAATGTATTATTGTATGTGAAATAAAATTGTTCTGTTTTTCTTATGTTTCGGCCCCTAACTGTGTTTTACTGTATACAGTGTACTCTTGAATAAACAGCCTTTCCAGTCTCACTTCATTTCTGGATATCTTAAAATTGATCCAATATCGCATTTAGTATAATAAATGTCCAAAATAAAAATATGTGCTTTCTGCTGGGTTTTTTTGTTTAGTAATATTCTATTCTCAAATCAGTTTACCTTCAATTTACAAAATGTGAACCATACACCAACCATTGTACATATAGATTTGCATTTGATACCTTTGCCCACAGCTGAGTGCATCATTGCTGCTGCCAGCATCATAATGTCATTAAATAGATGCCAAATCAAACCAAACTTCAGAACTGCTATTCTGAGTCTGCTGAATCTCAGAAATAACAATCATAGTGCTTACTGCAGCTTCAAGCAGTCAACACCTAGATGGTTTATTTTGTATGCACTATATTTTGGCACATTGCATGCAAAACAACCATGTTCTTTATTTGGCAATGTTCAGCTAATTCTGGATTCGTTTTGTGTGCGGTGAGGAAGAGGCCAGGGGCAAATAGGGTGGAGAGCTGGGTCAGGATTGAAAAGGAATCCGTGACATGGATGAAAGCGCCGTAGGGGGTGAATTGATCCTTTACCCTTGCCACCAGTAGGAGGAGAGCCATGACCATGTTCATGATCATGTGGCTGGCTTCTTTCATGATGTCCACAGACAGGCTCCTCTTCACCAGGCCCAAGTGCAGTAGTGTTCTGTTGAGAACAAAGACAACAAATGCAAGAGGTTTTGTTTTTTTTTTTAAATAATTTGCCATAAAAAGGAAATTTATTGCAAAACTGCTGTTGGACTCACCTTTGGATCATTAATATAACATTCAAAGCCCTCAAATCCCTGGCAGTAAGCATAATCCTTTAAAAAAGGAAGAATATATACAATGAGAGAACTAACAGAAATAAGCCATAAAAAAGGTATTTGACATTTAGGGATTAGAAATGCTGAAAGATCTGCAATGTTTGTATTTGATTTAATACTTCTTACAACTGTGCAGTAAATCTCTTGTTACTCTTTAACATTGTGATATAATTTTAATGGGAAGTGGTACTCCTGATCTCACGGAATACACACAGCAAAACACTTTACTAATTTTAGTACACAGCATATTAAAATGTGGCTCAGGATTTTCTGAAGTGTATGAGTTGTACTTACAGCTCTGTCAGGACAGAGCGGAGTGCATTCCTCAATTGGGATTTTAGAGCCCACTGGGCAACGACTCTCCACAAGGACAAACTCAGCATAATTTTCATGCATATATTTCTAGAAGAAAAGAAGGTGTAAGGTTAAACAATGACTGATCTTATGAGTTCACAAAGAGAGGGAGGAAGCAAAGGATCCTCTGTACCCCAGCTGTTATCCGTGCCACATCCTGCAAGATGTAGTAATGCTTCTTAGCGATGTTAATGTTGAAGAGTTTCACCATGTCATGAATAAACTTGAGACTTTCAGAGTCGTTGAGAGGCAGCAGGATGGGACAGTCAGGGCGGATGCGTCTCATCTCCGCGTTAGTTTTTACAGCAAACGCAAAGAATTGTGCTGAGTGTACGTTCAGAGGATTCCAAAAATCACTCGCTGAGGCTCTTTAGTGTTTTCTGTCAAATATTCTTCCTTTCACAAGATGATGAACTTCTCCCCATGTTTACTTCCTAAAGACTCCTCTTCACTAGGATGCTTGTTTGAAACCATTTTGCATTCGTGAGTTTCTTCATTGTATTTTTTTTAGCGTTACACACTTTGGAAGTATTTTGTCACCCTTGTCCCAACTTTTTGTGAGACATGTCAAATGCTTTAAATTCTAAATAAGCATTTTTTAAAACAAAACATAATGCCACAGTGTTAATATTTGATATTATTGTACTGCTTCTACAAATGCTGTTTTTATCTGCAGTCAAATGACAAATTATGAAAAAACAGGGAATTTTTTTTCTCTCTCTTTTTTTTTTTTTTACTGATACCTGCTTTAAGGGTTAAACCATCTATCATTGGTCCTTACAGTGAGTCTGTCTTTGGCCACATCAAGTGTGTTTTTGAACAGGCAGACCAACAGCCTTGGAGTAACAAGTAATCAAAAATGATCGTATTTGATTGTATCTACAGTAGCATCTTCTCAGTGAAATGGTGAACAGCTATGATGCAGAGAGAGCCCACCTTGTCGTGTGTCACATTCATATTTGGTTATGTTGGCATCACCATCTTTTATAGTCATCAACACAGTGCAGTTGGCCTTCACTGCCTTCAGAGAAACAGAGAATACAGCTTTATTTCATAACATCACTGAAGTAACTTTGCATAATTTGGCCAGATTAGCACGTCCACCTTCTGACCAGAGGTGAATGTTACATGAAGTCAGTGCAGGCAGGTGGATTAAGCAAACAACTGCTTTGCATTTACCAGTTCTGTCTCTCCACGGATTTCACATTTCTCAAAGGGCTCTGTGTCGATAGTGTGGCATTTTGTCTCCCGAAGATCCAGCTGCAACTTTACATTACATCCACCATCAACCTGGAAAGAGCAGAGAGTAAGACTGTCATTCATATTTACTGATGCAGTTTCAGGATCACCACAGGAACGCCATGACAGACTTTAAGGATTTTTTGTCATGAAAAGCTGATGTAATGTAAAACTACAATAAACATATTGATAATTGATTGATAATGATCATTTTAAAAAAAGAAAACATTTCAATAGAATTGTGGACTTGGATTTGTCACTTACCATGCTTTTATAGAACTGCTACTGTATCTCAAATGTGAACTGCAAATGTGCACATTTACTGCTACTATCATACCTGTTCCACACTGTTCCCTTGAACTTCATGCAGTCTGAACTTGTAGCCATGGTCATGATACTCATTGATGTGATGCACTGCCTTATCTGCTGCCACCGAACTGTTAACTTTTCTGCATGTTAGTGGTTCCAAACCTGGGGCAGCGCTGCAAAGCAGGACTGCTGCCGAAAGAAGTGTCAGGACTCGTAACGTCCTCATGGTACCGCGGAGAAGACTGGAGCAGGCCACTATTATGGGGCTGTTATATAGAGTGGATTGGTTAACATATGTCAGTGGGTTAGACAGACAGTGACAAACAAGATAGGAAATAAATGATAAATAAATAGAAGCGACCACAAGACAAACATGAACTTTAACCAGAGGAGCTCAGCATATTTTGAAATGTTTACTGAACCAGTCAGTTTCATCACACTTCTTACACAGTCAATATTTAAACTGAAGGATGTTATTGTAGGATTTGTAGCAGCTGCAGATCTTACATGGCTTTTTTTTTGCTCATCACTACAATCAAAATGTTTGAAAAGAGTTCAGATTTGGCCCAACTTTGTTCATTTGATTTGTGTTTGGGGTTTCCACACCCTTAAAAGTACTTAATAAATCTGTTTTGTTTCTTCTCTTTTCTTTTTGTTATTTATTTTGGTTGTAAGAGGTTAAGCATATGTTTTTTACCATTATTTTCAAATGCCAGAACACCGAGAGAGTTATTTGTTATTTTACACCCAATGTTCCCGGAGAATCTCTAGATCAAAATAGCTTCAGACAAACTTTGACCCAGCAATGCTACAGCAACGTTTTTTCATTATCAAATATAGGTGGGTTAACTTTAACCTGGAGGTGATAAAAAAACATCACCTCCAGGTTAAGATAATCCATCTATATTATCTTAATCTGGAGGTGAAAAGTATAGAAGCACCATTTAAGTTCCAGTCGTCAGCATACTATTTACTGCTATTTGCATCAACAAGCAATGTGTTTATGTGTTGATTTACCACAGGACAACAAGATTAACACTTTTCCACTTAACATGGCTGATCATTCTTAACAGCACAAGCATAATCATTAAAAGTGTACCAAATCTTTGAGTTGGGCCAGTTAGTTAGTATTAATGGAATTTTGAAACCCATTTATTTGTAAAAAAAAAATGTTTGGAATCATGTATGATTTTCGTTGCACTTCTCAAGTGTACATCACTTTGCATTGGTTTTTTATGCGGAATTCCAATAAAATTGATTCATGTTTGTGGCTGTAATGTGATAAAATGTGGGAAAGTTCAAGGGGGGCCGAATACTTTTGCAAGCCACTGTATACCGTTATGTATTTAAAATACAAAATATGGCGCCTGTGGCCCGCCTGGGCCCCTTCCGGGGGATGGGGTGCCCTCTGGCCTCTGGGCCTGAAGCTCGGTCCTCTCTGGCACAGCTGGCTGCCGGCAGAGCCCGCGGGCACGCCACTGCAACCCCCTCTGGC